GGCTAGTTAAATGTTAAATGATGCCGAATAAATCCACACGTTCACTGTCATCCGCTGTCATCTCATCGAATTTTGTATGTGCATTGAATATTACACTGATGAAGAATATACCCGTCATGCTGGGTTTATAGATTCAACTAAACTAAGAATTCAACTAACAATTAAGAACTAAGAATGTTGAATACACAAGAACATAATATAGGGTTTATACATTTACATCTGTCATTTAAATTAAGAATTAATAATTACAAAGTTGGCCAACTTTCAACTTAACAACTAAGAATTAAGAATTTTGTTGAGAAAACATGCAGAACATGACAAACTGGTGACAAATGCTGACAAAAAGAGTTGTTGATGGATTTTAGAATGTCAGTAAATATCATTGTTGAATTTTGTGGGCTTGTTATACAAAGTGAAATTTGGTGAAATTTCAGGTTCAAAACTTTTTCATGTTCTTGTGATTGCTCCATTAAAATACCCCATAAAATAGCCTATAATTGAAATTTTTCACAAATATTTGACAAGGATTATGAATATCAAGGCATTTTGAAAATGATGGAAGCTTAGTTTTTAGTAGATGTGTATAAACACCTTCCTAATTCTCTAATTGTAATTCTTAATTATTAATTCATAATTGTTAGTTTAGTTGAATCTATAAACCCAGCATCATGATTGTATAAAATGAAGATAGATAGGTAGGTACTCAACCTTAATTATTACCTTCGAATGCGGAAACGTACTCGCAGAATCCCCACTCTATCAGTTGGAGTTGATAGTCCATGTTGCAGTAGGTACTTGCAGCTCGCAGTTTGCAGTTTCGCAGTTTCAGTTTCACTATCACTTGGACACAAACTCTATTTAATCCGTTAATTGTTCAATTGTTGTAGTTGTAGGCTTTGTGCGATTGTAGATCTTCTCTCACTATGAAACACAGCGTCACAGCCACAGCGACAGCGAAAACCATGCGACATGCGAAAACCGAAAGATTCACTTCACACAACTGACCCCTACACTGACCTACTTAGCACTTAGCAGCAGGAACGCCAACGGCCAAACGCAAATAAATGCCGGGATTGCAGGATGCCGCGAAAGCGCAAAAAACTGCGGGGCTGGTACCATTGTTGCCAACCTTCCAAATACGTTTTGTCCTACACGAACCTATTAGAATTCTCTACATTGGAAAAAAATCCTTACAACTCATTTATATTCAAAGGAACGTTATTTTTATATAACTGATCTAGCAAATTGAATTCTTCAGTGATATAAGGGTGATATTTAATATTAATTTCAAGGTTCAAAAATCCATTTAGATAGAAAACACGTATTTTTTATGAAACGGGGGTTTACAAAAATAAAATAATCGATTCGACAGTAACTCAATATTGCAAATTATAGGTATCTCAGGAAGGTATTTTTGACACATTTTGTTTTCATAACTACATGTATGCGTATACAAGAACAGTCGAAAATTCCCCACAATTCTGGACTATTCAAAAATCTGTCCTCACATCCCAACGCACCAATAATTTGAACAAAATGTTTTCTACATGTAGGGAATATGCCTACGAGTAGTACGAGTTGACATCACTGTCGTACCCGAACATGGCGCGAACGCGTTCGTCTACGATCGCCATACATTTTCACAATAAAAGTAATTAGATAACGAATTACGGTTATTAGATTAAAAATCACTCGACTGCTTTCATTATCATAGGGTATGATCTTATTATCCTTACAAGACGTCTAATGAGGCTTATTGGTGTACTCTCTATAAAACGTCTCTAATTGTGATAACTAGTCGTTTGCGCTATTTTTATACATGACATGGGTGAACATCATTAGATATTGAATGACTATAATCAACAAAGACATAATAAGACGATTTAATTAGAGCTTTTTCCTCAGTGAAGAAGAGATTATTTCAATAGCGAAGTCGTATAATGTCTTGAAGCTTTTCAGTTTTCAATGACAATTGGTGACGTTGGCAATCAAATGAGTTACAGGATGTTTTCATTAATTGATCTTGAATTTACCATTTTCATGTTCAGATTTTAGTAGTGAATACCATGTTCTGTCTATATCAACTGAACAAGAAGCAATGTTATTGTCTCCGTTCAGAAGAATGCAAGCAGATTCCTTGATTTTTCTCTTCTGGTTGTTATCTTCTTTTCCAATAATTTTAATATTATTCCACTCTGCCATATGTTGTTCGTCTTCAGTAAGGATATGTTCAGCTAGTTTCGATTTATCGATGTTTCTTTTCTTTATATTGTACTTATGTTCCTTCGTCCTTACTGAAAGAGGTCTCTTGGTTTCACCTGTATAAAACTTTCCACAAACACAAGGTATACTGTAAATACAATTTTTTGATGATTGTTCTTCATTTTTCGGCTTTGTTTGAGTTAGAATTGATCTCATTGTATTTTCAGTTTTGAACACAGTTTTCACTTGAAATTTATCACCAACACGTTTTATTTTTTCAGATATGCCGGGAATGTATGGTATTATATTTGTCGTTATTGATGGTTGATTTTGTTGTGGTTGACCCTGTTTGTTTTCAATTCGATGAATCGTCCTATCGACAAAATTCTTTGGATAAGAATTAAGTTGGAGAACATTTTTAATGTGGTGGACTTCGTTATTGAAAATTTGTTGGTCAGATGATATTGATTTGGCTCTATCATGGAGTGATTTGATTATTCCTTTCTTAATACTTTTCTGATGATTTGATTGAAAGTTCAAGTATCTGTTAGTATGGGTCTTTTTACGATAAACACTCGTTACAAAGATGTTATTTGATTTTTCAATAAGAACATCTAGAAACGGTAATTGATTATTAGATTCAATTTCCAAAGTGAACTTTATTGTAGGTTCGGCATTGTTCACATAATCCAGAAAATTATCTAGCTCTATAACATTGTGAGGCCAAATTATGAAAATATCATCTACGTATCGCCACCATGTTTTAGGTTGTTTTTGGTAATTTTTGATGATGTTGTCTTCAAAATTCTCCATAAATATATTGCTTAAAATTGGAGATAATGGCGATCCCATGGCCATTCCAAAGTTTTGTTGATAAAACTCATCACCCAATTGAAAATATGTTGTTTTTAGACACAATTCCAAAAATTTAGCAAGATTTCTCTTGAATATCATCAATCCTATTTCAGGAAAAAGTGAGAGTTACATCAGAAATACTCCTCATTTCTTAGAAAAACTTAATGACATCACTCTTGATACAAATGATACTCTTGTTAGTTTTGATGTAGTAAGTTTATTCACAAATGTTCCAATAGATAAAACTTTACAAATAGTGAAACATAAATTAGAAGACGATGAAAGTCTCACTGAAAGAACTAATTTAAGTATCGAAGGAATAATGGAATTTTTGGAATTGTGTCTAAAAACAACATATTTTCAATTGGGTGATGAGTTTTATCAACAAAACTTTGGAATGGCCATGGGATCGCCATTATCTCCAATTTTAAGCAATATATTTATGGAGAATTTTGAAGACAACATCATCAAAAATTACCAAAAACAACCTAAAACATGGTGGCGATTCGTAGATGATATTTTCATAATTTGGCCTCACAATGTTATAGAGCTAGATAATTTTCTGGATTATGTGAACAATGCCGAACCTACAATAAAGTTCACTTTGGAAATTGAATCTAATAATCAATTACCGTTTCTAGATGTTCTTATTGAAAAATCAAATAACATCTTTATAACGAGTGTTTATCGTAAAAAGACCCATACTAACAGATACTTGAACTTTCAATCAAATCATCAGAAAAGTATTAAGAAAGGAATAATCAAATCACTCCATGATAGAGCCAAATCAATATCATCTGACCAACAAATTTTCAATAACGAAGTCCACCACATTAAAAATGTTCTCCAACTTAATTCTTATCCAAAGAATTTTGTCGATAGGACGATTCATCGAATTGAAAACAAACAGGGTCAACCACAACAAAATCAACCATCAATAACGACAAATATAATACCATACATTCCCGGCATATCTGAAAAAATAAAAAGTGTTGGTGATAAATTTCAAGTGAAAACTGTGTTCAAAACTGAAAATACAATGAGATCAATTCTAACTCAAACAAAGCCGAAAAATGAAGAACAATCATCAAAAAATTGTATTTACAGTATACCTTGTGTTTGTGGAAAGTTTTATACAGGTGAAACCAAGAGACCTCTTTCAGTAAGGACGAAGGAACATAAGTACAATATAAAGAAAAGAAACATCGATAAATCGAAACTAGCTGAACATATCCTTACTGAAGACGGACAACATATGGCAGAGTGGAATAATATTAAAATTATTGGAAAAGAAGATAACAACCAGAAGAGAAAAATCAAGGAATCTGCTTGCATTCTTCTGAACGGAGACAATAACATTGCTTCTTGTTCAGTTGATATAGACAGAACATGGTATTCACTACTAAAATCTGAACATGAAAATGGTAAATTCAAGATCAATTAATGAAAACATCCTGTAACTCATTTGATTGCCAACGTCACCAATTGTCATTGAAAACTGAAAAGCTTCAAGACATTATACGACTTCGCTATTGAAATAATCTCTTCTTATGTTGAAAACGGGAGCAGAACCGGTCCCGAAACGTCCAAAGATAAGTGAAAATTTGATATTTTTTCTATATTCCTTTATTTCCCTTCTCCAAAAATTTTTTCAATACAAATTGTCACTGACAAGCTAGTGAATTTTTCTTTTAGGCTCTCTGATAGGAAAATTCTTTAAACGCAGTGACATTTTGGGGCAAATCATCTGATTTGTCCTTACTACACGTATATTGAAATAATATTCATATTTTTATTTTATAGAAACGAGGAGAGAAAATCCCAAAAAATTTGGAATAACGTGATAACTTTATTCGAAAACGCTCGTTCTTGAGAGGATTCAAACATGCTGATTGCAACTAATTATATTGAATTAATTCACCTACGATTTTCTATGTCTGCAGCTGATAGGTTTCTTGCTCCTGAGTATTGGACTGACTATCAAGACCATCTATAGCGATTTCGACCATTTCCTGGTAGACCACTATTATGACGCCGCAAAATTGGCAATCGCCTTGGGAATCATCATCTTCTTCGTTGCTTTCTTTGGATGCATCGGAGCAGTCAAACAAAGTGTGTGCCTGATCAACATCGTGAGTATATTTTATTTTTTGAATTGACTCGGCCGTTACTTGATGAAAATCCATTTTTTTCCAACCACTATAATATGAAGTTATTATTTCATGATTTTTCATACCGAAAGTAGGCTATTTAGGTATTTGCCCAGTTTCCATGGCAATTGTACAGAAAAGTAAACTCTTTTTTGTACAGTACCAAAAAGAACGTCAAGTTGTCAAAACCCCACATATTTTGAACCAAAAATTAAAATGAAGATGGATAGTGACAGCGATAGTGATATATCATGTACTCCCCCAAACATAAGAGAAAAGGCTAATATTGCCACTTTAGAACTGCTACCAAGAAAATCTAAAACTGTATATGAAAACAGTTACAGAAAGTTTATGGACTGGAAGAGAACGAATAAGGTATCATCTTTATCTGAAGATGTTATCATATCTTATTTATCCGATTTATCTGCTACAATGAAGCCATCCACCTTGTGGAGTCAATACTCAATGCTAAAAGCCACTCTGAACATTAATCATGGAATTAATATAGGCAACTATTCCAAATTAGTTCCTTATCTCAAGCGTAAATCTAATGGATATCAACCCAAAAAGTCTAAAACGCTGACAAAAGAAGAGATTGATAGATTTATCTCTGAAGCACCAGATCATAGATATCTGATGACTAAGGTAAGGAGTAATTTTCACTGATCTTATTAAAATAATGTTGAATATTCAAATATGTATTCAAATTATGTACGAGAGGAAAAGTGTACGCTATGAATAACAATCACGAAAGATATTAACATAGGCCTCATTAGCCTAGTAGTCAGAGACTGAGCTTCTGGTGCGGAAATCCCGAGTTCAAATCCCGTTAGCACGGTTTTTTTATATATTTTTTTTTAAGTAAAAACTTCTTTCATGGATTAATTTTGCATTTATTTATAGGTTGCGCTTATTTTTGGAGTAGCTGGAGCATTAAGACGTGATGAATTATCAAAAATGAAAATAGAAGACATTAAAGACTTGGAATCCGCTTTATTAATAAAGATACCTATAACGAAGACAAACAGGCCTAGATCCTTCACAGTGACGGGTGATAATTATTTGAAAATCTATAAGAAATATGTAGCCCTTCGACCGAGTAATATGAATAATTCAAGATTTTTTATCAAATACTCCAATGGGAAATGCCATAAACAGGTTGTAGGCATTCATAAATTGGCATCTACTGCAAAGGATGTGGCTGTTTATTTGAATTTACAAAATTCTGAAGCTTACACTGGCCATTGCCTAAGGCGGACGTCTGCTACTTTATTAGTTAATGCTGGAGCAGATATAACGGCCCTAAAAAGACATGGAGGGTGGCATTCATCTACTGTTGCTGAGGGCTATATAGACGAATCCATCAACAACAAACTAGAAACTGCAAATAAAATTTTAAATTCCTCAGTTCAGGAAAATAATATAAATACGGATTATTCTCCAAGTACTAGCACAGATGCTGTTCACCAATCTGCGTACCCACCAATACAACTATCCAATTGTTCAAATTGTAACGTAACAGTGAATATAAATTATTGTTCTAAACAAAATATTTAGGAGTAAACAACAAAATATCTATTTTCAGTTTTGAAGATTTGTTTGAATACTTTCCACCAATTGTTCGAATGGTATTTACTGTTACAATGGATTATTATTGTTCTAAACAATATTAGGTATGTAAATTGAAAGGAAAATTGTACAAAATGCCCTGATTTTCGGAAATAAAGATTTGTACAGGGAATTTGGTCGTTAAAATTCACTATAACTACATGTAGGTGTTTTCAGAACATATAATTTGTTATTTTTGAAACTTAAGTGGTTGGAAAAAAAATATTGTGTTTCATTCGTACAAAAAATGCGTTTTTGGGACTCATAAGATTGCCGTACTCCGCTACGCGTCGTCCGGCAACCTTCTTATTCGTCCCAAAAACAGTCATTTTTTGTACTAATGAAACAAATAACTATTTTACAAAAATTGTGGAAATCTTATCGTTCGTGAAGTTTTCACAGTATATTTCATGTTCCGTAAACATATCACCATTTTTTCTTTCAATTCTGTGAAAATCTTATCGTTTGTGAAGTTGTTACATTTGAACATATCACCAGATTTTTGTCTGATACTGTTACAGTTCGAATTCAGTAAAATTATGAGTACTCATTTTATTCTTTAGTCATGAGTTTGCTTCATTCAGAAGAATCTACTGCAACTACGTACTACTACTATTACTATGATCCTCAGTGTGCATACCGAAAACGTTCGTTCGTTGGAGAATATATCCTGCATATGGTTTTTCTGATCACCTTGTAATATTTTTGTGCATTTGGCTATTTTTCATTGTTATGGATCCTTGGTGACCGATAAACATCTAAGGTTTGGCAAGTGTTCGACATATTTTTTTGATGTATGATGTATTCATCATACAGGACGTGGAAAAAAATTCTGAATTGAAAAAAACCTAATCACGAATGTGCGATTGAGATATATAAAAATAACAAGTTTCCATCGTTCAAGTTTGAACCCCTTGATTGGGTGAAAGTATTGAAAAGGAACATTTTCAGATCTATTTATGAACACAAGAAGATAGTAGAGGGCTTTAGCCATTTCCAAATCTCCCCCCAAGGCCAGAGGAGTGTGACCTTGGGGGGAGTGACCTTGGGGGGAGTTACCTTGGGGGGTGGCCTTGGAGGAGTGACATTCGGAGCGACCTTGGGAGTGACCTTGGAAGTGGCCTTGGGAGTGGCCTTGGGAGTGGCCTTGGGAGTGACCTTGGTAGTGACCTTGGGAGTGACCTTGGGAGGGATACGGAGGTTTCATCTCGGACAATTGTCGTGGTGACCTTGGGGGGAGTAATTTTCGTGCGCATTTGTACCTCTTCTCAAGGATGTTTGGTGGTGTAGTGGGGTATTCCATGTCCGAGTTTCTATAAATACAGAATCCCCATCTTCAAGTGCATAGTTATTCCGAAAATACTGCTGGCTGAACAATCTTGTCAGATCAGTGGAAGTGCGATAAAGTGTGATATCAGATTTACGTAAGTTCAATTATTTATATATTTTTTATTCCTTCTTTCACTCGACAAGTAAAAATAGAAATGGCTCCTCCTAAAATTGATCTAGTCGCAATCAATAGTCGAATTAATGAGGAAAATGAAATTATTAAACAAATTCTAATATCGTCGCTACCACTGAATAAGAGTTTTATAATCAGGAAAATATCGTTATGTGGGACTCGATTCGGTAGAAGTGGCACCGTTATATTGTACGATGAAGAAACTGAGGTGAGCTTAAAATGTTGGTTACCAAAAAGAGTTGTAGACCTTTTGAAAGAAAGCGATGTTGATGAGATAAATTTTTCTAACGGCGTTTATACTTTAACGTACTTGGGTCAGAGTGAACCTTCATTTGCAGGTGCAAAGACGCGGGCTCTCATCAAGTTTGATGTCAAGGGGGGTGTAATTGACAAATAGTTTCATATTTCCTCAATTAGTTTTTCGATATAGTGTAGTGAAAAAGGTTTAAAAATTATATAATAATTCTTACATTAACATCATCACTTTATCGCTAATCATCATTGATTTCGATACTTTTTTTGGTGAGTGTTATATTGGCTACATACATTGGAATCAAGCATTACATTTTTTCCACCGTGATCCATTACCTGAATGTTTTGTTTATTTACAGAATTGATCACTCTTGTGCAGCACACGTTCCCGAAATGTGTATGAATTATTCTAGTCAGTTTTGGCCTACGGCGGAAGATATCAGATCAGCTGTGAGGAGGTTGAAATGTCGATTCATGGATTTGGAGCGTGATACACTACATGCAGGGAATTATGATATGAGTGTATGCTTCGATCAAGTACAAGTTCAGCGCCTCCTCAAACAAGCTGAAAAATATAAAATTGGATTTCTACTATGTGCCCGCTATGAATACAGCAACATTACTTTGGAGCAATTCCTTGAAGCAATGGTTGAAGAAGACTTGGAACAATTTCTTTATGAAATCTTCGATTTGCTACCAAACAGCCTGATTCGGAAATACCACTTGGGGGTGATTCCAGACACTGAAGATGAAGGAGGACAAAGGGGGTGAATTGGGCATCTATATAGCATTTTCGCGTAATGTGTAATGCCGATAATATTTTGATGTAAAAATAAAACAATAGTTTTTAGTACATTTGTATTTTATTGATTACAATGAATAACAATATCGAGTAGATTGAGTAATGATAAATTTCATGAAGAGAGATCTAATAACTAATGTGATGACGGTGGCGGTGTCAGTGAGGAGTGGATCCGCATCTATCGTATTCAAGGAGCACCCATCTGTATGGAACCATCTAATGCGCTATATGTCAGATATGCGTCATGAAGAATAAGTGCGTAAACCTTTGTGTTTGGTGGAAACTTCGTTTCGCGGGTTTCAAACTCCAATTTGATGTCGACAGTAGAAGTTTTCATCGCATCGGGTTGGTGGTAGCAGTCGATGATGAATAACGGATTTTTTCGGAACTCCTCAATACTCATCATTGGTTCACCCATATCTTTGCCATAGTAACTACGTTGGAAATTTTCGTATGCATAGTAAGCCACAGCATCTAACTTTCTGTCAAAATCCAAATTCCAGCGCTCATATGGGTAAACTTCTGAATTCAAGTAAAGGCGAATATTATTCACTCCTGCGTGAATGAATTTCGTAGCGTCCTTGGATCTATCATCTGTATTATCGGAGCTTTGAAAACCGATAATGATGTATCTCGGGCGCTCGAGGCTACTAGTTGTTTTGATAGCCCAAATATCTGAAGCTGTTTCACGAATGGCCGGTAACTCATACAAATCCCACATCCTGTATGCTAACTTGATTTTTGCTGTAGAACTTTTATTCAATCGATTCAACAACTTCAATTTCTGCCTATCGGACGGCATCACATGCCTTATCTTCCATTCGATTTTGTTGATCGTCACATTCGCATCAACTTCCC